ACATACATACATATATATACATACACACATATATATATATATATATAGAAAGAGAGAACTAGTGCTGTACAACTATATTCATTTGGTAAATATATTAAGGTCAATCACTCGAATTGGGATACTTGCTAATAGATTAAAAGTATGTAAATGTATACGAAAAACAAACGCATTGTAGATAAACAACAAAATATTCAATTGAAAACATTAACCCATTAACGTACAATATCAAACAAAATCAATCGTTCTTTATAACTCCGAGTATATAATAGGCCTATACTGTAAAACCTTATGAATATTTAAATGACTCTTCAGTACCCCTTTCTTACCTAAAATACACTCATTACGTACACCTTGCATATTACAGAAGTTGTAAAGTGATATAATAATACTTAATTACTTACAAGTTTTTTTTAATTAAATGGAAGTTGAGATTTAAACTACTCCATTTGATACCGGTGCGCAGTGTTTCTTCTTCATAACTTAATTACGTTAATTATGAAATAGAATATTACGGTAATTGTCTATTGATGATGAGCTCGGAATCCCCGGTCCCAGAGGAATAACTACCAGGGACATATCTTGGGTAACAATCTTTTAGTCATTCAAAATTACCAATGCAATAGCAGCCACAGTGCTGAACTGGACTACAGCCGACTTACAAATAGAAAGATTTTTAGCTCTGATGAGAAGCCCTAAAAACACTTGGCTGATTGATTAATCTGAATGATTAATATATCTTTTTTATGGGCGGCCGTTAGGGCCAATATACTCTAATGCCTCAGGAGCTCTAGAAACACTCAGCTGATTGAATAATACTGGATCTTCTTTTTTTTGTATCGGCGGCCGTTAGGGCCAATATACTCTACTGCCTCTATTATACTGCCCTCGTCGAAGCTTTCGAGATTATGAGAACTTGTTTTTATAATTAGAAATGGTAATTCCCTTAAACTACAATAGGTTCTACTCGTCACTTTTTTAGTCTATTGTCTTGTAGTTGTATAAGTTAAATAAGAAATAGGGCCTATGCCAGCTTATTTTCAGCATATTACTGCTGAAGTCTGGTTTCATCAAAATTGCTATACTATCGCCCCGATTGAATGTGAGTCGGCTTTGTTCTGATTGGGCAGTTGTTAAGTTTGATTTATATTCCAGAAAGTCATTTGCGACGAAAAATCATTATCACCTGGGTAAAAACTATTTCATATCTCAATGGTACAAACGTTAGACAACTATTCATACTGTACCACTGCGTCATATATTTCCACTAAATGCGCGATGTATGCTTAAAGTTTATACATTTTATATAATGTATGTGCTATGTTTTATAAGTAAATCATAAATATCATAATTTTTTAATACTATACGGTAAGATATACTATCGACTATGTAAATTTAATATTAAATTCATACATATGAGTTCCAATGTTTTGGTGTATTATGGCCATCAATTATCAAAATTAAATTAGTTGTTTGCAGCATATTGCCAAAAAATGTTTTAGGCATGAATGACGATAATGATAATGACGTACTCGTTTTCGTTATCGTTTTCATAAGATTGCGAAATCTCACTAATAAGATAAATTTTCTTGAAACGTAGCAATAAATATCCATGGGTAAATTATTAAAGCTAAAACTGATCATAGATGAATATCATTATGTATCGACTTAATACAATTACAGTATTTACATATATTACGCGTATATTATTTTAGGTTGGCCGGCTATGCTGAGTGTTCTTTCGTCTTCAATGCGTAGAATAGTTCATCTATAATCAGTGGTGTTTTTGTCGCCAGATAACATAAAATTACCACCGATTTGAAATGAATTCTTGTAGGCAAACGACATCGTGTAAATGTTATGGAAAATTTTTCAACCTTAATTTTAGTTATTGTTTTTACTCTGATACTATGCCACATGTTTGTATAGGGGTTCCCCGTCGTTGCCTGTCATCACTTCATGAGAAAAATATGATAGACAGTACCGTAATATGAATTATAACATACTTCATATTAATAGTGTGTATACGAAATGCATCATATTTTAAATAACATATTATACCATAATTAGGTCTGGGACTAAATATTGCATATAAAAAAAATAACAATAATATATAAATATATAATTAATGATAAGACTATTCTACAAATTAATAATAATATTGTTGAAATTATATGTTTATGATGTAGGCACACGAGAAGATACCGCAGGTGTGACAAATTCAAATAATTAATTACAAGAAAATATGTCATTATTAGATAGCTGTGAAAAATCTAGATTGTAAACATTTGACTGATTAAGCCTACACATTAAATCATATATGTTTAGACATCAAATGCCTCTCTTAGAGTGGTCTGGATTTCTTGGAAAAATTTCTTCTTTGCTGATGTAATATGCATGTGGCCTCCTGAAAATAAAGTCTTCTTGAAACGTCGATTGGGTTGAATCTCCAGACACCAGGCATCCAACATAGTGGGAGGAACAAATCGATCTGACTTGGCACCTAATACGGTCATGCCACATTGAAGCTTCGTGGTGTGGGTGTTGGTGTACTTTTGGCAAATTTTAAAGCCCACTTGAAAGCAAGGGATTAGGCGTTTCATCAGCTCATGGTTATTCAACGCCTCATCATCAAGGAATGACAGCCTCAGAGCTTTATTGTCGGAGAGCTTAATGTTGTTCTTAATGTCTTGTTCCATCTGTCGTAATACACTCGGTGCTTTTTCAAGTTCAACCGCGTTTGGATAAGCTAACGTTGGAGCATACCAGGAACTGATGATGATGTGGGCTGGTCGGAGATTTCTCTCTATCAGGCGATGAGCAACTTCGAATGAAATGAGTCCTCCAAGACTGTGGCCAAATAATACAAATCTACCAGGAATGAGCCTAGCAACAAGATGTTCAGTTAGATTTGTTGTTATTTCCTCGATTGTCTGAAGGGGCTTCTCCTGATGGCGTCCTTCCCATCCGGGCAGTTGTGCCATGATTAACTGAACATTATGCTTACTGAATTGATTTTGCCACCAAGCGTATGTAGATGGACCACCACCATTTGGAGGAAAGCAAACGAGTTGGATATCTGGGGAGACGACACTCTCGTCCATGATGAACCATGCCTTCCAAGATGTGTCTTCCTCTTCTTCTTCGTCTTTATTCTGCCCTCCAAGCTGCTGTTCTGCTAGAATCCTTTTGTAAATTGAAGCTGATATAGCTTGCAGGGTTATGTTAGCGTTCATTAATTCCATTGGAGGCACAAGAACTGCGAAGCTACCTTGAATGACTCCGCTAAGCTCAGTGGTCATCAGTGAGTCTATACCAAGAGCAGATGGTGAAGCATCCGGTGATATTTGGCCAGTTATACCAAGACGCTGTGAGATAAACCCACATAGTGTATTGAAAATATATAGCCTAGCTTCTTCTGGCTTAAGACGAACTATGTCATTTTGTTGACTGTCTCCAACATATAAAATCAGTTCCTGTCGGGATAGGCCCAGTTCCAATCCTTTTAGAATTGAAAATCGTCCATCAGGTTTAAGCGTCATGTGCTCCTTAAACAGATTTCTGCTTTCTCGAACATATTTCAGAATCTTGACATCACCACTCATACCCATTTCTGGTACATTGCTTTTAAGAATTACACCAAGACCATTCAACAGCTCTGCTGGTGCAAGGCTTTCAATGCCTTTTTTTTCCCAAAATTCTACGAGACCAGACCTTGCGGCAAATCCATCGCGTCTGATTACTCCTGGACAGAAGACAGTTGCTGGCAAACCCTTACTTCTACGGAAATAACCAAGAGAGGAAAGGTATGTATTAGCTGCACAATAACTCGCTTGGCCGGTATTACCTAGAAGTTGAACCACGGATGAAATCATAACGAAATATTTTAGTTGGGCGTTAAATTTGATTGACGTTTGATGCAGCAGAAGAGCACCCCATGATTTAGCCGCCATTACTCTTTTCCAAATTGCAGGTGTGATGTCCTTCAGAAGTTTATCATCATACTGTGCAGCGCAATGGAATATACCAGATAATGTATAGGACGCATCGATTGATACTTTTTTAAAAGCCTGTTCGACATCCGATTTACTTGTGATATCAGCCTTGATATGAACAATTGATTTTCCAGATTTCCGCAGATTATTCAACCGTTCCTCTGATTCATAACCTGCCTCTGACCGGCTCATAATGTACACACGTCCGGCTCCATGGGCGGATAGCCATTCTACGAGGCAGAGCCCAAACCCTTTTGTGCCACCAGTCACAAGGTAAGACTTGTCATTTTCGAACACAATCTCTCCTTTTAGAAAGTCACAGGATGTTGCCACTCCATCATCATTATCAGCTGCAATTGCAATAGTTACTTTTTCAAATGGGATACGTTCATTTCTTCCACTATTTTCCAAAGAAATTACTTCTGGTAAAGCGTCTTTTAATGGATTTACGGAAGAAGGCATCTCGAATACTTGCAGTAGCTCATCGAGTATAGGTTTCATCTGTTGAAGTTCCTTGTTTGAATAGAACTCATGATCAATATTTTCAACAATTACGTTTTTCGGCAGACCACCAAGCTTGGAATAGGTTTCTGAGAATGCACTAGATTGGAAAGTCCCAATTATTGCAAATGGTTTAAATTTTTCGTTCATAGTACTCATTTTCAGCAAATCTCGAACTGTTGATTCCCAGCCAATTAAGAAATTTACACTCTGTTCTTTTAACGCACCAGGGACATCGTTAACGTCCAATATCTCTGCTTGGTGATCAGTACTATTCAAATAAACGCCATTTTTCACTGACAGATCTTTAACGGCAACAACGACATTATGGCCAAGTTCTACAGCCATGTGTGCCATTGCTAATCCCATTTTGTCTTCATTCGATGACATACAGATAACAACTGTGCTTTCCTTGCAACATATGAAGTTACGAATTACCCCGAATGGGACCAGGTAAGATAGGACGATGTTAACTATATCTTCTGGACACAAGCTGCTTGTCACTTCAATGATATTTTCATGTCCACAATGCATCGTTGATTTCAGTTCCTTTTCGTCACAAAACCCAATGAAGGATTTATTCTGAGCACATTGTCCACAAAACAGCGCAACATGCTGAGGTTCATTAGAAGATTTACCAGTTGTTTTCATCAAGTGGAAAGCTCCCACCTTTACAGCTATATCGGCATTAGACCTACGTTCGATATCATCATCACTATGGTTTCTCGTCAGGAACAACCTTCCACTCTGGAAGCTTTGCCCGATGTCAAATTTCCAATTAGGGGACAATATTTTGTACGGAAATTCGTGTGCCTTGCTTAAATTGACGCGAAGTGAGTATGCATCGTATGACCTACTTGAATTATCAGTGGAATGACGTAAAGCAAGAATATTGTCACGACGATCTGTTTTCCATATGTAATTGATCAGCCATTTTGATACAGTAAGACTATCTACATCTGAAGGTATATCAATCAGGAAAATATTCAGGCTAGGGTCTTCTTGCATTACACTAAGTCCAAAGCCGTAGGCTGATGCTTGACTAGGATTAACTAGATCATCAGTTCTGGCAGGGAATCCATCACGAGTCACAATCCACATATTTGGCCTTCTTCCGTCATTACGCGAGAAGGCATTGTATTGATCTATACACAACATGGCCATCTGTGACTGCTGGTTAAGTAGATCCTCTTTGGAGATTTCATTGAGACTATCTTTATTTCCAGCTTTGAATATCATAATGATATTCGACGGAAGGTCCTTGTTACCCCTGCTGACGGGCGTTGTCAAGATCCCCGTCTGTCTAAGGGAAACATTGAGTTGCCTAGAAAGTTCTTCATCGTCACCTGTTATAAAAGTTGGTCCATCGTCATCGTGAGATTTGTCTCCAGGATATATTTGGACCCATGTCTTTTCCCACAACTGAAGCTGGTCATATTCGTTTGATGTAGCAACTGGCCCGAAACGAATTTGTTTAAATCTACCAATAACATCATGTGTCTCTGCATCAGCGACGGAAACGTCTGCAGCAGCATCGTCCCCATTCGAAGTTATGGTATAGTGAAGCAGTGTATTGTCAGGAAATGTAACCTTTCTAAATTGTATATTCTGGATAGACCTTGGGACACGTCCATCCGGCTTTGCCTCTGGATTTAAGACTTTCATTCGTTGACGCTCAATACCAGCCATACCCTGTAGTATGCCATCGAGTAGAGCAGGGTGCACATAGAAGCGACTGGACTGTGCGGCCACTGTGTCGGGTGCACGAATTTGGATAAGTGCCTCGTCAACAACTCGACTAAAATTTGCCTTCTCGATGCACATGAAACTTTCACCAAGATCGAAACCAACTTGCTTCTTGTTTGCATAGAATCCCGATTTACTCAGCTCTCCAGGGCATCTATTCAGGATTTCATTCACAGGGAGTTTACTATTTCCAATTTCATTTTCACCTGCTATTAGATTCATTGTTGTGTGTGTCATCCACTTGTTGTCGTTTGCATTCAGTGATCGAAGTGCTAATCTTGCAATTTTTCCAGTCTCTAATTCTGTTGTTGTTTCCAGTTCGGTCGGCGTAGCTGACATGAAAAGAAATCTATCGAAATTTAGACCGTAGATCTCGATTTGGGAACTTGTTTTGAAGAGCTTGTGATGTGCGGCAATTGCTACCTCAATGAATCCGGCGGCAGGGAGTACTATACTACCTTGGACAACATGGTCGCCAATCCATGGCTCTTCATTGGTTCCTATTGTAGTTTTCCATACTTTTAGTCTTTTGTTTTCAGCATAATTAGCTGACAACTCTTGTTTACCAAGAAGCGGGTGACAGGAATTCGGATAACGCATATCTGTATTCGCCTTTTCAGTAACAGCTGAGCACAAGACACGCTGCCAAGGATACAGTGGTACTGACTCTACTTTACAGTGATGGCCTGAAAATGCTGGACGCATGTCAACTGCGTAGCCTTTCACATACATCTGTGCCAAAGAGATGTAAATATTCAGAGAATCATCAGCTGCTGCGCTTGTATCTTTTGGTCTCTTTAATGAGTGAGTAATGAAGTGGACAGTTGGCTTATTCTGCTTGGACGCAATTATGTCTTGGATTGCAGGCGATAGTACTGGGTGAGCTCCTATTTCAAGGAAACTATTGTAGCCATCTTTAAGAAGAGCATCTACGGCGTCCCTAAATAATACCTGCTGACGAATATTGGTCCACCAGTAATCAGACCCATTTGCTTCATGCGGAGTAACGTAACGGTTAGTAACGGTGGACATCATTGGAATAAGAGGCCTCTGTTCCCTTAATGACTTAGTCTTACCCAAAAACCTGGTTTTTTTGTAGAACTCCTTCATAAGCACATCTTGTTGACGGCTGTGAAAAGCATTATTAACTTTTAAAACTTTCGTCTGCACGCCATCTTCGCTTAGTTTTGAAGTAAATTCTTTGATAGACTCAGCCTTGCCAGAAAGCACAATCTGTGATGGACTATTGACGGCAGCAACGTCTAAATCTGTAACGGTTGATTTTATACGTCTCTGTATATCATCAACATCGTAAAGAACTGCAGCCATAGTTCCTGACCCACTTGTCCTTGTAAGAAGATGTCCTCTTGAAAAAATGATTCTAACAGCAGCGGTCATGGTTAGGAGTCCAGCTGCATAGGCTGCTGCAACTTCGCCGACACTATGGCCAATAATGGCCCTCGGTGTTACACCATAATGTTTATACAAGTCAACTAGTCCGATTTGTACGCTACAAATGCATGTTTGAGATATTTCTGTGAAAACAAGAAGAGATGATGGAAACAGTGTCATTATTATATGATTAATGCATGAAAATACTCCGTTGCAATCAGTGGTGGCGCCAGAGGGGAGGGGGAGGGGCTGGGGCTATAGCCCCCCTCGTCGGAGATGCCTAGCCCCCTGTCGGGGAAGACGAATACATTCCGTCGGGCAATAAAAAAAATAAAAATATTGTTACATGTCTGCTCGTTTAGCGACCATATCGCCTTCATTGACCTATTTGTGTACTGTTTGTGTTAAATTTTTATCACAATAATAACAAAAACAACAACAATAACAATAAAAATAACAATAATAATAATAAAAATAATAATAATATTAACAATAGTAATAATATTAACAATAATAATAATAATAATAATAATAATAATAATAATAATAATAATAATAATAATAATAATATAATAATAACATAAATTCACGTGCCGTTTTATTGTAAGTTATCCAACTACCGTATATATTACTTTTCACATTGAATTAAGCCCATGAAACAACATATATTCTTCTTCACAATGAAATAATTACATTCAAACATCTACTCAGCAGAACAGTGTCAAGTGTCAAAACAGCATTTTAACACTATATTTGTTAAAATGTCAGTGCATATTAATGCTATGTATTGAAATTTAAAAAAATACAAATGCCCCTCTCCCAGTTTGAAAAATTCTGGATCCGCCCTTGTTCAATGGGACTATATTAGAAATGGTTTACGTTCTCTGTGACAAATGCTCGTTTGGATAACCTCATTAAAAAATCAGCATCAATTCCTTTATTTAAAAAATCACTCAAAACGCACTTATTCCAACAATAACATGAAGCGCCACTGATAATTACTTCGGTTTTTTTAATGGCGCTATATAAGATCTTACTTTATTATTATTATTATTATTATTATTATTATTATTATTATTATTATTATTATTATTATTATTATTATTATTAGTATTATTATTATTATGATGATGCTTGGAATACACCTTGATCGGGGAGCAACCTCGTGGTTTACAGATTTCAGGCATAATTTTCAAAATGTATAACTTCACTTTGAATTAAAAGCTTGTACTGTGACATTGTGTTTTCCTAATTCATCGTAGTATAATATTGTCACAAATTGGTGGCCTTACAATTTACAGTAAGACATTATTCTTACTCGTAATTTTGTTTTTAATAATTCACAATCACATGGATTATGATCAACCTGGATTTTGCCACGATGAGAGGATAGTATTGTAATGTAATACGGTGATCTGTTTTAATAATACAAAATGTAAAAAGGATTTGAAAATAAATTAGTTGGTTACATTGCATACGCTTTGTTTCTCGTTGCTTTAATAAAAAAAAATCGGTTTTGGAATCTCGACATTAAAAAACATACATTAAGTCATTACGGTAGCTTGATGCTTATCAAGTAACTAATACAAATATACCAAAATTCGTCAAATATCCGCAGCTTCCAGGGGGCTTCGCCCACTGTGGCCCCTAGGCGGATGCCGCCCCTAGCCAAATCAGGCTCGCTTCGCTCGCCTAGCGCCTCCCTCCTCCATTGGAGCCTTTAGTCTCCGCACTGTCGGGCAGATCCTGGCGCCATTACTGGTTCGAATGTATGTAAGCTTCTTAATCAAATGTCAGAATTGAAAGGAACGGTCCAATCAGTAAACGTTTTGTTGTATCTTCATACAACTAAATACAACAATTACACAATGGAGCATCAGTGAAAATGCTACAGTATATAATATTTATATATAATTTAAAACTGACCTGTATCGTTGATCGTCTCTTTGCCAGTTTCAGCTGACAAAATTTGTACAAGTGACCATTTTGCTCCGTATTTACCCAAGATGTCATCTATTTTCTTTTTTGAACAATATAAAACGTGAAATTTTAATTATTAACATTTAATGTGTATAAGAGACAGTATATATATAGGAAAAACCCATAACAACAGCAAACGGCCACATAATGCAAAACAATATTAAATTAAAACGGAACAGTAGAGAAAATCCGATCAATATGACAAAATATACTAAACATCCACACTGGAAGAAATCCCAGTATCTGCAGACGGATCCGTTTCGGTCTTAAAATGCAGCAAGGTATAGACCTAAACGAAACTTTCGATCAGCTTAGGCAGAGCCCAGACTAGTCAAACGACCACTAGTGATTAGAGAGCCAAACCAAGGCAATATATATACACAACTCGGGTGCGAATGCAAATAGTAGAACACAAGCTTATGCGGCTCGGGTCCAGTAGATGCAGAGAATATTTTGTCATTCCTAACGCGTCCTACGAATTTTTACAGGTAGCACTTGTCCGTAAATTTGTGAACAAGATCGGAGACCTAAAGATGCAAACTCTACCGTGCATCGATGGCGGCCCGCTGGTTCTTGATAGTACAATAGGAAAAACTCAAATTTATGTAGTATACAATTATTTTTAACTAATCAGTTAAATTTGATTAATTTCATGATCTATTAGGCCTAGTAAATGTACATGAAGCGTACAACAAAAATTAGGATTAACACGATGATTGCTTTAAAATCATCGTCCCAAACCAAGTGTGTCACTAGTAGGCCTGGCCCTACTACCTAGGCCGTGGAGGCTAGGCCTTAATTATATGCCGGCGAGCAAAAAGGTGTAAAACACTTTTTTATTTTATATAATCAATTATTAGTGAAAATGATTTTACAGCAATGATGATAATATATTCAAACACAAAGGCAGTTCGACTAGACCTAGATTAATTGGCATAGTTAATTCATCAGGGCCAGATTATTATAATAGGGCTTTTGGGACGCGAGCCCCAATGGGGAAAGATAGGCCACGAACCCCGGGGCGAAGCCTCCTGGGCGCTACGGATATTTGACGAAGTTTGTGAATTATATTAGTTATTTTATGGGCGTCAATCTACTGTAATATGAGTTATAATTGTTGTTATTGTCCAGTAGTGGAATCAGGAATTCGATAGGCCAAGAGGGGGCCGGGGGATAATTTCACAGATAGAGGATCTACTACCTCAGTCCCACATGGTTGAGGCTGAGGTAAAAAGAATGTGATTATAGCACCTCTGGATGGCCGGATATTGCACTTATACAGACATAAAATTTAAATATAATTTTCTTTATATCTCCATTTTTTTTTAAAGTGAACAATTTAGAGGTGGGGGGGGGGTGGGCGATCCGACTGGGCCCCTTTGAATAAACCACTGTGTACTTTCGCAGATGGAGGAATAACGCCTCAGCCCTACCATGTTTGGGGTTTAGGTAAGAAAATTTGTGATTATGGCATCTCTAGATCGCCGGAAATTGCACTCGCAGACTTAAAATTTAGGTCCCACATTTGAATCCGCCACTGATTTCCGAACAAAGTCGAAGTCGAGATTGCTTCCACGACCCCAATGAATTATTAATCATGAGTGATATCCCTAATATGGGTATTCCCCGACGAAACCTTCCCTTTTCTCCCGATAGATGAAAATTACCCTTCTATAGTAGCCCGGAAATGATAGGCCTACTCAAATTGTGGTGGTCTAGGAAGTCGAAATAGAGGGGCCCAGGTACGGTCTTGTGCAAATTGAATGTCCCCCCCCCCCCACGATGGTTGGGGCTGAGGTAAGAAAAAATTATGATTATGGCGCCTGAATGATCGGAAATGGCATTCTCAGATTAAAAGTTGATTGTACATAGGCAGGTCGACTTGACCCAAATTAATTGGCATAGTTAATTCATCAGGTCAGATTATTATAATAGGGCGTTTGCAAATTGAAAGGGCTTTTGCAAATTGAAAGGGCTTTTGCAAATTCAAAGGGCTTTTGCAAATTGAAAGGGCTTTTGCAAATTCAAAGGGCTTTTTGCAAATTGCAATAATTCGTCTGTTTTTCTTTATTTTTAAAATAATTTTGAAAAAAAATAGGAGGTTGGGGACCGTGCTGACTGGGATCCCCCTGAATCCGCCACTGTTCAATACAACACTTGACATAGCCTATCATTTTGTTTCACAAATGACTAATACATAATGTCAAGCGAATTTTTTTATTTTTTTCAATACAGTTTTTACAACACATTAACTTAATAATAATTTTGTAGTTAACCTTCAGAGAACTTTATTTTGAAAAATGGCCTAATATTATCTTATTGTTTTCGTTAAATGGAGTTGTTATATTATGGTAGTTTGAAGGTTTACTGTAAGCCAATGAGTTACACTTACTCTACATCTTCATGGTTAGCATATAGAGCGTCGCTCCATAAAGAGGGCCTCCCCCATATGCCTAAATACAGAATTCACGGAGGCAGGCGAGTCCATTCTTTTTTCTCATGCTCGAGAATGGGTTTTAAGGAACGTATACAGACATCAATCTCAAAAAGGGAACTTGTAATGTTCGTTAGAAAATGAAAAAAAAATCTATATTACATAATAATCATAGGCCAATTTATGAGGCGCAAATAACCAATAATAATAATAATAATAGGCCCTAATAATAATATTATTATTATTATTAATAATAATAATATTAACCACCCCTGTCTCTTATACACATCTAGATGTGTATAAGAGACAGATATATACCTTTATATATATATATATTATGATATATATGTATGTATGTATTTATGTATGTATGTATGTATGTATGTAATGGAGAGAGAGTGAGGAGTTAGAGATAGAAGAAATTGAAAGATAAGGACTATTGAGGCAAGATGTAACAGAGGCATTGATGTATACGTTGATACATTTTATAATACAGTATGGATAAGTGGATTTGAGATTTTAATAAATTAAATTTTTTTTCTACCTGTATTACGTTGCTGAATATGGGATGTGTATTCATTAGCTCCCTGGCCATACCCCACCACTGGGTACCCATACCAGAGAAGACGAATACTATTCTGTGAATGGAATTTCCCTCTGGGGCTTTGCCTTCAATGATCTGGATGGAGTCCAAATTTCCTTTAATTCTTCTACGAAGGAGCTTCACAAGTTCACTTCTAGACTTGGCTAACAATGATAGTCTGTGTATATGGTGATGAGATCGGACACTGGCTGTGAACAGCGCATCCAGGAATGCATCAGGTTTCATATCGAGTGTTTCGACAAGGAACTCAATCCAATCGGAGCATTTCTGCAGAAGAGCTTCTTTTGAAGTTGCCGACAGTAACAACATGTGATAGTCGGTATCACCGAAATTTGTTACGTTGTGCATGCTTGGTAAACTATTAAATTGCTTTAATGGAGCTGCCTCAAGAACGACATGCGCATTGGCCCCACCAAATCCGAATGAACTACATCCTGCTAGAAGCTTTGATCCGCCAGGCCATGGTATGCTTGAGGAAGGAACTCTTAACCTGAGGTCTTTGAAATTGATGTTAGGATTACCACGTTTGAAATGAACAACACCTGGAATTTCTCGATGGTACAACGACAAAGCTGTCTTTATGACACCTGCTATACCAGCAGCGCCTTCTGAATGTCCTACATTAGACTTTATTGAACCAATAAAAAGGGGTGGTGCGTCATCTGGACGCTGTTTGCCCATGGCTTCACCGATAGCATTCGCTTCTGTCTTGTCACCAACTGGAGTACCAGTACCATGTGCTTCAATATAGGCGACATCCCGTGGATCTACCTTAGCTGCTGCACACGCTCTATCTACAAGATCAATCTGGGCATCAAAGCTTGGATTTGCAATCCCAGGTGTCCGTCCATCATTTGTTAGAGCGCCACCTCGAATTACTGCGTAAATTCTATCTCCGTCTTCTATAGCTCTCTTTAGTGGTTTGAGTACAACTGATCCTGCACCTTCACTTCGACTGTAACCGTTAGCTGATTCGTCAAAGCTTTTACACTGTCCATCGGGAGAAAGCATACCAGCTTGACAAAAGCCAATTGTAACAGACGGAGTAAGAATTATGTTGACTCCCCCAGCTATGGCTGTATCACATAATCCCCCTCTGAGAGCATCACAGGCAATTTGTACGGCGTAGAGTGAGGACGAACAAGCTGTGTCAATAGAAAAGCTAGGCCCTCGTAAATCAAATTCGTACGAAATACGGTTGGAGATCATGCATGAGTTTGTTCCTGAATTTGTATATTGATCAATGTTGCTTTGTGGGAAGCCCACAAGGTGAAGGTACTCGTTCGCTGTAACACCCATATAGACGCCGGTGTTTGAACCACGAAGGACGGAAGCGGGAATTCCAGCATCTTCAATCGATTCCCAGACAACCTCGAGGAGTATTCGTATTTGTGGATCCATGTGACCAGCTTCATCTAAAATGTGAAAATATGAGATAATCCTTATTTATCCAGATTTATAGGCCTACGTTTCAGATGATTAAAATTTACCGCTTCAAGACGTTTTAAAAATCGCAAAAAAACATATCTTATTTTATGAATACGCTATATTATACGGCCCCACTGTCTGTTTGCTCTTGTAAAAGATTTTAAGAAGATGCGGGCAAAAATAAGATTTCTTATAAGGGTCAATAATCAATATAAATAACATCTTAAAACCGCTTGTGATCCCAATTAATTAAGAATGGTTCGAATTTATCAGAACACATTCTTTTTGATTTTTATCCACATTTTGGCAGAACATTATTATTATTATTATTAATATTAATATTATTATTATTATTATTATTATTATTATTATTATTATTATTACTCGAAGATAGCTCATCTGTGTTGGTGTTCAAATGTAATTTCACGGTAGGAAAATTTTGTTGTGTTTTGATCAAAAGTTTAAATTTTTATTACATTATTATTATTATACAATATTATTATTATTATTATTATTATTATTATTATTATTATTATTATTATTATTATTATTATGACAGCCTTAACAAGGTACAGGATAGTAAAGATAATTTGATCCCACGGGCTGACTTGAGAGGATAGTTGTGGACAACACATTAATAAATGTTTATACAGCAAGCTTGTGTCTACTTTTCCAACATTGAAAGTTCTACGCATATCTTTTACTGTGTGTAAAATACCACCCTCTGTCGGTTTGATTATCATTTACCAAAACCATCTCAAAAACCAAAAGAAGTTTACAACATTTTTGGGTTATCCTTAATGAGAAAAAAAAAAAACAGAAAAGGGGTAGCTTCTGGTTCTGATTTTTTTTTTGCTTAAAAAAAGGTGTTTTTGTTGTCTCTATATGCCATTTTCATTTCTTTACTTAAAAATTAAATATGTACCTGGAGACATCTTGAAGAATTGTCGATCAAACATCTCAGGATTCTGTTTCAGATACCCGCCAGCTTTGGTGTACAATTTTCCCTTTTTCTTTTCACCGGGAAAGAAGAAGATCGATTTGTCAAAACGTTCCGGTGGGTGCAGGGATGTGCAGTCCCTCTTCTCCTTCAGCATGTCCCACAGCTCTCGAGGGCCCGCCACTCCACCGCCGTATCTGCATCCGATCCCCGTAATGGCGATCTTGTCGTCATTGGTGAGGGGGTCCGCCAAGACCATGGTTGTCGTGGAACGGTGGATGTTTCTGACGCTCATATTATCCTCTTAGTCATTACTCATACCTGTTGATTATAATTACGGTATAACTGCGGTGTATATGGTGATATTTATAAATTATTTTTGTACAGCACCTTACAAACTGTAATGATGCAGGAAGTCTAATTAATCAAGGTTTTTAATAACCGCATTAATCCTCAGCTATTCATACATAATTAACAACACGGTTCGGGTCTCATTGTATTTGGTATTAATTTTAAACACAATGTTATCCTTCATATAAAAGTTTTAACCAGAGCCTTGCAGGCATACATATACATATATATATATATATATATATATATATATATATATATTTATATATACATATATACATATATATATATATTTATATATACATATATACATATATATACATATATACGTATACATATACATATATATACGTATATATATACATACGTATATATACATATATGTTTATGTGTGTATATATACTTATATATAAGTATATAAGAATATAAGTGTATATATAGGTCTATATAAGTATATATATGTGTATATATGTATATATAAGTATTATATATAATATATAAGTATGTATATATGTTATAATGCATTTATGTATGTATATATATAAATACATATATATATATATATAGGCCTATATATAAGTATATATGTAAGTATGTGTATATATGTGTATATATGTATGTATGTATATATGTATATTATAAGTATGTATATATGTGTGTGTATATATATATATATGTATATATATATGTAGATATATAAGTATGTATATAATTTTGTATGTATATATATATAAGTATGTATATATGTATATATATAAGTATGTATATACGTATATATATACGTATATATGGATATATTATGTATATATATATATATATGTATGTATATATGTGTGTATATATAGGTATGTATATATGTGTATATATAAGTATGTATATATGTATATATATGTATATATATAAGTATGTATATATGTTATAATACATATATGTATGTATATATATATAAAATATATATATATATAAAATTTATATATATATATATACACATACATATATACATTATAACATATATACATACTTATATATATACATATATATAAGTGTATATATATATGTATATATGTATTTATAAAAGTATGTATATATGTTATAATGTATATATATGTATATGTATATACT